GTGGAGTGTGTGTGTGTGTGTGTGTGTGTGTGTGTGTGTGTGTCCTATATGCATCCCCCTTTGCTCTCAAAAGCTGGATGTCATGGTGAATTTCTGTGATCTTGGTTTTTGAGACTCTGAGGCAGGAGGACTGTGATTCCAGGCCAGCCTGGTATACATAATGAGGCTGTATCTCAAAAAAGTACAATAAACAGAGTAAGGGGTGAAGCATAAGAAGATTAATACAAGTACTCGGGTTGCCAACTTGACTTGGAATCCTAATCAATTAAGAAAATTCTATCTTGTTAGTTGTAAAAAAAAAAAAAAAAGATTGTGATTTTGAGAGCTTTGTGGGAACAGGACACTTTCATTTCCCTGAATAGAAACTATTCATTGTGACATAAAAAATGAAGGGCTACGTGAGGCTTCTAATGCTGGACATTTTCTTTAGTGGTATTCTCAGTATAGTTAGTATAGCAGCACTCCCAACAGAGAACTGTACAGCACCATAATAACCATAGCCCACATTTGCTGGGTGCTTCTAGGTATTATGCTAAAAGTCACAACTCGGTGGAGCCCTTCTGTTACTAATTTCATTTTACAGCTGAAGAAACAAAAGTTCAGGGAGGTCACAAATCTTGCCCAACGTCCTTGCCATCAGTAAAGAGCCAGGAATCTAATCCAGGATGTGTTTTTGTGTTAAGAGATGTACTGTGCCCAGATTTGTAAGCTGTGCTTTTTATTTTGCTCATTTATTTCCTTAAAATAATTCAAACACATAGTGCATAATTTGGAAGGTATAGTAAGTAAACTTAGCCTGTGAAAACAATCTCCTCTTTATTCCCTGTTGTTTCCCGTCCCTACAAGCAACTGCTGTTCCTTATGTCTCCTTCCAGAGATTTAAAAAAATATATTTTATTTATTTTTTTATGTGTATGAGTGTATTGCCTGCATGGATATAAGTGCACCTGTTCATGCATTGCTCATGGAGGACAGAAGAGGGTGTTGAATTCCCCTGGAACTGGAGTTATAGATGGTTTTTACCTACCATGTGGGTGCTGGAAACAGAACCCCAGAAACAGAACCCGGTCTTCCGCAAGAGCAGCCAGTGCTCTTAACCACTGAGCCATCTCTCCAGCCCCCAGAATTGTTTTTACAAACACTGTTTGTGGTGAAGCTAGCATAATTGTCCTCAAATTGTTTTATTTGGGTTTCAAAATGACCCCAGAGTCTCCTTGTAATGGCTAGCTGGCAGTTCTCCATGCAGTGATAATAGTATCATTGAATCATTTGTTATGGAGCACCTTGAAGTTCTGTACTGCCATGTATTGTAAGTTAATTTTGAAATTGCAACCTATCTTCAACAATTTTGTTGCAACATAAATGTCCTATGATTGGTGTCATGTGAGTTTTTTGACATTTTAGCTGCTAGACAAGGCAAGTTTCTCTTTCTTAATACTTCCCTTGTCTGAGGTCACCCAGCAAGAAATACTTCTTCAATCCTCATGGTTCTGTTGGTTTGAAAAGAAGTAGTAAATTACATTAAAATGACTTATTTGTAAATAGCATACCTAGTTAGTTGTAAGACACACTTTTATCCACATATTTTTATCCTAGATCCCCTTGTTTCTTGTCTCATATCCTTTTCCCCTCTAGGCCCATGACCAGGCCACAGGGATGTGTATATTCCCACTCACAGCCTCTTTTCTTCCCCATAAAATGAATAAGATACAGCCTTCACAGCTCCGCCTATTGGAAGACCTTCCCTATCTCCCCAGTGTCCTTGAGGGTCACTCCTGGGTGTAGCAAGAATATAGCTGCGCTTTATTTTCATCTTGTTCCCAAAACACCAGCCTCACATCTGTTCTTTCTTCTCTGGCCCTCTATGTTGGTTTTGATTAATATTTTATACATAAACATTTATGGATTTAAAAATGTAGGATATCTTCAAATTATTCTCAAATAGTTCAAAATTTTTAAATTTTATGACATTAAAAATAGCACTTGGAGCTGGAGCAATGGCTCAATGGTTAAGAGCAGTGGCTGCTCTTGCAGAGGACACGGGTTCAGTTCCCAGCACCTACATGGCAGCTAACAACCGTCAGTAACTCCAGTTCCAGGGGATCTGATGCCCTCTTCTGACCTTCTCAGACTTTGCACAACATGGGTGCACTTACACGCATGTAGGCAATACACTCAAACACATGAAATAAAAATAATAAAATATTTTTTAAAAGAGTGCTGTATGAGCTGCACAAGATTGAGCCCATTGGCACTTCATCTTGGGCAGGGGAGGGGCCCTTGAGATCCCAGCCTGCCTTGAGGGTCTACTGGCAGTTAATGGTTTTAGGGGGAAGGAACATCATTTTCTTCTTTGTTGTAGTCACTGGTAACTTGTTCTGTAAATAATGTCTCACCTACTCTTGTGCAAGCAACTCTATCTTAATAGATCACAGGGAAAAAAAGCAAGAAGTAGGAGGGGACTTATTAGGAGGAAGAAGGATTTCAGTGGGAGAGAGAGGAAGACGAGAGAGGGGAGAGGGGAATGAAGCTGTGTGAAAATGACTAAAATTCAGTATATACGCACATTAAACTGTCAAGGACGGAAAGCCTCTTTGGCACACGTGCAGTGGAGCGGCTTCTTTTGATAGACACACCAATGATCTTGCTGCCTTATGTGCCTACCTGCAGAAGTGACAGTTTCAGTTCTCTACTCAATGGCTTGCCTTTTTACTCTTTTTTTACTTGTGTGTGTGTGTGTGTGTGCGTGTGTGTGTGTGATATGTATGTGTGTGTGCATGAATATGCACTAACCATGCACTAACACAGAGGCCAGAGGGAGACATCAGGTGTCCTGCCATATGACTCTTCATCTTATTCCATTGAGACAGGGTCTCTCACTGAACCTAGAGTTACGCTGGCAGCCAACAAGCACCAGTGAGCCTCCTGTCTCTGCCCCCTACAGCACTGGGGATTACATGTGGATATGCTGGGCTTTTTATCTGGATGCTAGGGATTTGAACTCAGGTATTCCTGCTTGCATAGTAGCGAGTACTCTTACCTACTGAGCCATCACCCCAGCTTCGTTTTTACTCAGTGCCATTGTTTACAAATAGTCTGTTTGAAAAATTCAAACTTATTGAAAAGATGAGAAAAAATTATCACCCTGTTTCTATAATTGACGTGAGCACTTAACTTCTATGAACTTCAGTGTGTGTATCCCTGCTTACAGTTCAGTATTTGTTTATAGTTCATTTTTTAGGTAAATTTTACATGCAATATAACACAAGAATCTTGACTATGCTATTCTACACTGTATCATCATATAAAATATTACTAGCATCTCAGAGAGTTCTCTCATAGCCAGTCCCTTCCGTATTCTGTCAAGGCAATTCTCTATTAATTGTTTGCAATAATTTGGCTTTTAAAATTGCATATAGATTTTGTCATACAGTACATACTATTTTTTAATATAGCCTCCTTTACTCAGCATGTCATGTCTGTTGTTGTGTAGTTTGATCTCTTGTGGATCAACACTATGGGTTGTTTCTTTTGTGGGGGGCACCACTGTGAACACAAACGTATTACATACATCTGCATACAAGTTTCTCTGTGGACGAATGTTTACTTTTACCTTGGATGAATCTCTAAGAGTGGGATTGCTGGACCATACAGTAAGTTGCTGTATCCATGTTTGCGTTCCACAGATTCTGTACTATTTTGCTATACCTTTTACATTCGTATCTGGAACCCATCTGGAACTGGGTTTTGTATGTAAACTGAGATAAGGGTCAGGTCAAGATCCAATTTTTCCATGTGTTTTCTTTCTTTTTTAATTTTATGTGTATGAGTGTTTTGCCTACATGTATGTAAGTGCACCCATGTCATGCAGTTGCCCATGGAGGCCAGAAGAGAGCGTTGCATCCCCTGGAAGTGGAGTTACTGATGGTTGCTAGCTGCCATGTACCTGTTTCTTCTGCAACAGCAGCCAGTGCTCTTGACCTCTGAACCATCTCTCCAGCCCCTTCCAAATGTTTTCTTGGTTAACTTCACTGTACTTATCATGCCAAGAAGAGAAATGACCAATGTGTCTGTCTCTCTTGGGAATAACAATAATGTATCCATACTTACTTCTCTTCCTACACTTCTCCTCTTCTGCCTCTTCCCACCTTGAATTAGACCCACCCTCAGTCTTGGCTATTTGGGATGTGCATGTGTGAGTACCATACTGGAAACCCTTGAGATCGGAGGTACTTCTGGATTCAGAATAGGTCTCCCAGCCTGCCTGTAATTCACTACATAGACCAGGCTGGCCTTGAGCTTACAGAGATTCACTGGCTTCTGCCTCCCAAGTGCTGGGATTTTTAATTTTTTAAAATATTTTATTTATTATTTTTATTTTATGTGTATGAGTGTATTGCCTGCATGTATGTGAGTGCACCTGTGTCGTGGAATGCTGCGGACATCAGAAGAGAGCTTCGGATTCCCCTGGAACTGGAGTTAAGGATGGTTCATAGCTTCCATGTGGGTGCTGGGAATCAAACCCGGGTCCTCTGCAAGAGCAGTCAGTGCTCTTAACTGCTGAGCCCCAATTTTTAAAAAAAAAAATTATGTGTATTTTGCCTGCATGTATGTAAGTGCGCTGATGTCATGCAATACTCACAGAGGCCAGAAGAGGGCATAGCTTCTCCTGGGACTGGAGTTACAGATGGTGGTTTAGCCACCATGTGGGTGCTGGGAACTGAATCCAGGTCCTCCGCAAGAGCAGTCAGTGCTCTTAACTTCTGAGCCATCTCTCCAGCCCCAAGGATTCAGAATATTTGTGATTAAGTACGTTAAAATGTCTGAAGTGACATAGTAAAGCATACAAACAGATTCACGTGGATTCAAAAGATATTGGATGCCAACTTTATGAAACAGCTGGGTTTTCAGAGCCTTTTGGATTCAAATTGCAGATTATGGACCAACCATGGGCCTTTGCTGCTTATTTCGTCCACTAATATGTTGTTTTCACTTGACAGGCCATGTCGAACCAGTTTAATGTTGTCACTGAGGATATGTACACCAATGGGTCCACCACCCCAGGTAGCCCTGCCCAGGCCAAGGGGCAGGAGGTGAAGAAAGTACGTCTCATACAGTTTGAGAAGATCACAGAGGAACCCATGGTAATCACTTGTCTTATTGTCATTCACCACTTAGTCTCCACTTCAGAGTGTTTAGCTAGAAGAGTATATGTTAAAGGCTATTCTTGGAGTTGGGCAATCTGCCAGTTTCACTATTGTGTCTCTTTTTTGCCATCAAAGCAGTCTTCCTGCTTGTTCTACTACTATCACTGGTACAGAGAGAAAAGTTTTTCAACAAAATTGCCATAAGTCGCTTTAAAGCGCCAGGAGTGGTGGCACCTTCCTTTAATCCCAGCATGTGGGAGGCAGAGGCAGGCAGCTCTCTATGAGATAAAGGCCAACCTGGTCTACATTGGAAATTCCAGGCAAGCTGTGACTGCAGGGAGACTCTGTCTCAAAAAACAAAACAAAAAAGACAACAAAAAAGATGCTTTAAAGACACCCGTTGGAAGGGCTTAAGACAATGCTTACTGTTGCATTACCTTTATTCCAGGGAATCACTCTGAAGCTGAATGAAAACCAGTCATGTACTGTGGCCAGAATTCTCCACGGTGGCATGATTCATAGACAAGGTACTCTATGGGGCATCCTAGGTCTAGTTTTATTCTTGGATTATTTGCTTTCTCTCTGTTCAGTGGTGTGGGGCGTGAAGCTTATGATCTTCAAAACTGATAGCATTTTTGTGAGATTGCCAAGAGATATTTTTGACTTAATAACTGGGTCTTTAGAAAATCACATGGTAAGATCTTTGTATGAATTACCCAGCACCATCATCTCTCCCTCAAAGTCTTTTAAAAAAAATATTTTATTAATTTTTATTTTCTGTATATGAGTGTTTTGCCTACATGTATGTAAGTACACCATATGTATGTAATGCCGTAGGAGGCCAGAATAGGGATTGAATCCCCTGGAACTAGAGTTATGGATGTTCATTAGCTACCATGTAGGTGCTGTGAACTAAACCCGGGTCCTCTGTTAGAGCAACCAGTGCTCTTAACTGCTGAGTCATCTCTCCAGCTCCCCCTAAGCCTTCTTATATACTGTTTTATAATGATATTTTCCATCTAATTAACATGTGAATCATTACTACATGCACCCATTGCTTTGACTTGGATATATAGCAGTGAAGAAAACATTATCACTACACTCCTGGAGCTAATAGTTTACTAACTGATAAAACCAACTTTCAATAATTATAATTAATTATTTTGTTTCCTTATATTAAAATACCAACACTTTTCAGATGCATTATTTACTGAAACCTATTTTAGGAGTGATGAGAGAACAGAATAATATGTTAAAGTACAACATGTTTTCAGTAGGTAATAATAACCTGTATATGGCTACTTGTACTGGAAACCATTCCTATTGTTGAGGTTACAGCTACTCCAGAAAGTTTCTGACCTCATTAACTCCTACCCTTTTATGTTTAGTTAAGGTTTTTATTTTAATCTGAGGTAGGTGACATGAATTTAATAATCATCTTCTGCATAGAATTTAAACATTGACTAATTTTTAAGGTGAACAATAAGAAAGAAACATTGAACTTGCTGGGTAATGAGAACTGAGGTCTTTGCTTGTCCTGTTATTCTTTTTAGTATGTGAATATGTTCAGGCCTCTTGGGGTTCACAAGGAACCATTCTGGTTCCAGAAATTTGAGGATGAGATGCTTTTATCTAGCTCTTGGATGACTGATACCAAAACGGATGAGACAGGATTGCACAGTCCTAGATGGATTCAGAACCATATCCATTCTTAACTCTGCTAGTCAAATATTTCTAATTCTGGGCTTTTTATTTTACACAGTCTATGTTATAATATGCTTTAGATCTTGGTTTCTCTAGTATAGTATCTTAAGCTATACTGATATACTGTCAGCTTGTTTGAACTTTTATTCTTTTGTACATTGAGTTTTTTGTTTGTTTAATGACAGGCTCCCTTCACGTGGGGGATGAGATCCTAGAAATCAATGGCACAAATGTGACTAATCATTCAGTAGACCAGCTGCAGAAGGCAATGGTGGGTATTTTTTATACTAGATGAAGATTGTGCACTGTGTTCTTGAAGTGTGATGAACACTGGTGTCATTGGAGCCCATTATTGAGAGGGCTGTTGTCACATCTGATCTTTTATACTGTTTAAGAAATATTTCTGTGTTCATTTAGTAAAACTATAAAGTAGGACAAATAACTGAGAGCATCAATCTCATACAATGGCAACTGCATTGCACAGGGAACCAGGAGATGATGTTTATTGATATCTCTGAATACCTGCTTTACTTTATTTGGTGGCTTGTTTATCTTCTCCCAGTCTGTATGCTCAGCACCTTTTATGTGTAGCATTGTGTTTGGCGTTTATGCTGGCTGTCCTGCTTGCACCTCCTGAATCCTTGCCATTCTTCTCAAATCGCTCTTGTGCCACAGTAGGCTGACTCTAATGTCTGTATTAGTTGGGCTTCAGTAGACTCAGCAAGAACTTAGAAAAGGTTGAAGATGGGAGCTATTTATGCCCCCACTTATTACCTGCCAGACGTTCTTCTGTAAGTACCACTTACACAGGTGTGCACATCCTCAAACGATTCAACAAGGGAGAGAAGGCTTCTATGAGGATGTCTATACTGTGTGAATGCATTCTTTATGAAACTCTCTCCAAACACTCTTTTTGAATGTGCTACCTAATTATTACCACGGTCCTCAGTAATATGATAGTATCAGGAGTGGCATTAGGAAATGGACCCTTAAATGGCCCTCTGGCATTAGGCTGCTTATAAATGAGCATATGATGAGGAGAGAACACACTTCAAAGGAGTTAATAATTCTGAAGCGATCTAAACTTCAGTAGAAAAATATAAACAAATAGAAAACTGGACAAAAGAAGTAATAAAAAGGTGCTGACTAGCAAGCTTTTGAAAAGATATCTATTTACTGTACTATTCGCCACAGTCAGGATATGGAGTCAGCAGTTCAATGAATAAAAATTAGATGGTATGTACACATAATGGAATACTATCATGTCTTATAAAAGAAGGAAATCCCATTATTTGTCATAGTATGGATGAACCAGGAGGACATTATATAACCTAAACCAGGCACAGAAAGATAAACACCACATAACCTCATATATATGTGGAATCCAGAAAGGCAACCATGCAGAAATAGAGAGCGGAAAGGTTTTGACCAGAGGCTGGGGATGGGTAGGGATCATGGAGAGATGCTGCTCAGGGGAAATAAAATTACACATGTATGGGAAGAATAAATTCAGGAGCTCTGTGGTGATCACTATAATAACAATAAATTATGTTCTTGAAAAGTGTGAAGAAAATATATTTTGAGAATTCTGACACTAAAAATAATAGTAAGGTGATGCATGTGTTAGCTCTATTTAGTCATTACACAATATGTGTATATGTCAAAACAGCACTTGTATATGATAATTATGTATATTTTTTATTATTCAAATTACAAGAAAGAGAAAAAGGATGATCAACTTTAATTATGATAGCAAAATTACTAAATAAACCATTGAATTTGCTACAGTAGCTCATGCCTGTAATACCAGCCCTTCGGTTGGATCACTTTGAGTTCAAGGCCAGCCTGGGCTACACAATGAGTTTCAGGCCACACGTTCAGAGTGAGGCCTTGTCTCAGAAAAAAAAACAAAAGGCATAAAATTTGTTTAAATTACAAGTAAAAATTGTATCTATTGCAAGTTGTGTTGGTACTTGAGAGTCTGAGACAGGACAGTTGTAGTTTGAGGTCAGCCTAAGCTACATAGAACAGCCAAAAGAAACACACAAAAATACATATATGTGTGCATCATATGTATATGTGCATGTAAATATTTGCAATGCTATCATTGGGGTAAAGAAAGGTATGGGTATATCTGTGCCAGGTCTCATTTTGGGAACTTCTAGGGACCTTTTGGAATCAAGCATCTACTTCACTAGGCTAGTGTAGGAGCACATGACACTCTTGTTGCAGGAGGAGGCATCCTACCAAATTTCAAACTGTAAAGATGGGGTGGAAAACCTGATTTCATAGAACACTCCATCACCCAAGTTAGTTTTCCTTAGTCTCATTTTTCTTTCTTTTTTAATAGAAAGAAACCAAAGGAATGATCTCATTAAAAGTAATTCCCAATCAGCAGAGTCGTCTTCCCGCACTACAGGTAGGTGGTGCCATTTTCTTTGTTGTGCTGTTTTGTGTTCTTTGAAATTTAATTAACATGGGTCTATAACTTGAAGTTCTAGACCTCTCACAAGTGTGTAGCTGCTTGGGTGAGGATCCAGCTATCCACTGCCTGGTACTCTCTTCAACTGGAATAAAAACCTCATTTCTGGGGCTGAAGAGATGGCTCAGCAGTTAAGAGCACTGACTGCTTCTGCAGAGGACCCGGGTTCGATTCCCAGCACCCACATGGCGGCTATGAACCATCTTTAACTCCAGTTCCAGGGGAATCCAAAGCTCTCTTCTGACCTCCACGACACGGGTGCACTCACATACATGCAGGCAATACAGTCATACTCATACACATAAAATAAAAACAATAAATAAAATATTTTTTAAAAAACTTTTTTTAAAAAAAAACCTCACTTCTTTTTTTTCTTATGTCTGTATCTGTGAATACATGTGTGCATGTTCATGTGTGTGCAGGTGAACATATGCAGAGGGCCAAGAACAACCTCAAGTGTTGTTCCTTAGGTATCATCTGTGTGTGTGTGTGTGTGTGTGTGTGTGTGTGTGTATTGTATGTGGGGGGAGAAACAGAATTTTCAGCAATGGGTTCAAATTCTCTAATAGATATTTATGTTCATATTTCTAAGTTCCTGTTCTTTCACTTTTGGTGAATTATGTTTTTCAAGGAATTTGTCAAATGTATTGATGTGAAATTATTCGTAATATTCCATTTTGTATATGTGTATGTGTGGGTACATGCTCCCTCAGAAGCCAGAGGAGGATGTGAAGTGTCCTGCTTTTTTAATCTCTGCCTTATTCCCTTGAGACAGGGTCTATCACTGAACCTGAAGCTCACTGTTTCAGCTAGGCTGACTGGCCAGCAAGTTGCTGGGATCCATGTATGTACCCCTGCACGGTGGGGTTACAGGCACATATCGCCATGCCTGGATATCACAATATCCTATCAAAGCCTTTTAAATATTTCTAGAATCTCTGTTAGTAAATTTTATCCTCTTTGTTCTTAATTTCAATAATCTTTTCAAAGAACCAATTGGTCCTTCTTGGCTTTCTCAGTACTGTTTTCTATTTAATTTATTTCTGCTCATTGTTTCTTTCCTTATTTGTTTGGGCTGTATTTGTGCCCTCTAATACTACTAGAGATAACCAGTGTCCTAGTTGGGTTTCCATTGCTGTAATAAACATCATGACTTAAAACAACGTGGGGAGGAAAGGGTTTATTTCAGCTTACACTTCCAGGCCACAGTCCATCATTGGAGGAAGCTAGGGTAGGAACTCAAGGCAGGAGTCTGAAGGCAACAACGTGGAACAGAACCCAATGGAGGAATGCTGCTTACTGGCTTCCTCTCTGGTTTGCTGTCTACTAGCTGGACCTTCCCACGTCAATCATCAATCAAAACAATCTCTTATATAGACACAGCTATAAGCCAGTCTGATCCAGGAAATTCTTTAATTGAGATTTCCTCTTCATAGGCTGTGTCAAGTTGAGAATAAAAAGTACTCAGAACAACCAGTATTAAATTTTGGTATAATTTGTGTTCTAGTCTTTTTTTGTTCTATGACAAACATTTGCTTTAAGTTTTGACCAAACTATGATGTTTTTTAATGATGTTCTCATTTCATATAATGTCCAAGGGCAGTAGACATTCTACAAATTGAGTTTTTGTGTTGCATGGTAATATACCCAGCAGGTCATTGTATTTAACCAGTTCTCCATTCTTAGAAAATTAAATTATTTCTAATACTTCACTCTTATAAACAATGCTGTGATAAATAAGCTCATCCATGTATCATTGCTGACAGCTCTGCTTTCTATGAGATAAATGTATAGCAGTAGAATGTGGGGCAAAGGTGTCAACATAAATGTTGGGCACATTCACATTGCTAGACCATCTTCTAGAGAAAGGTTTACCAAGTTTACTGTATTTGTGATTATTTTGTCAAGGAAACATTAATTTCAGCTAGATAGTAGCAGCTCTGTACTAAGACAACTCATATCCAATAACTGGAAGCGCTGACTCAGAAAGGCATTTCATGCCTTCTCTTTAAAAGAATCAATTCTAGGGATGGAGAGATGGCTCAGCAGTTAAGAACAGTGGTTTTTCTTGCAGAAGACCTGGGTTCAAATCCCAGCACCCGCGTTGCAGCTAACAACTGTCCGTAACTGCAGTTCCAGGGGATCTGACAGCCTTTTCTGTCCTCCGCGGGCATTTCATGACACGGGTGCACTTACCTACACGCAGGATTACACACATACACATAAAATAAAAAACAATAAATAAAAAGAATAAAAGAATCGATTCTGATCGTTCTGCAAACACAAGTGCTATGAACATGAGTGTTCCAGTTGCACATGCTTCTGGACTCCCCTACCATGCTTGCCTCTTTCTTGTTCATTATGTATTTCCTCACAGCAGGACTTCACTTTTAAAAAATTTTATCACATTTATTTACTTACGTAGGTGTGCAGAGTATGCACCTGTGTCTTGACACACACGTGAAAGTCAAAGGACAAGTTGTGGGGGTTGGTTCTCTCCTTCCACCGTGTGGGTCCAGGGATCAAAGTTAGGTTGTCAGGCTTGGTGGCAAGCACCTTTACCCACTGGGCCATCTCCGTATCCCACAGCAGAACTTTCTTACATATGCTCTAGAGCTAGTGTTTTTCTTAAGTCTGGTGCCTAAGGTCCCCTTTGCCTTCTTTTCCAGATGTTCATGAGAGCACAGTTTGACTATGATCCCAAAAAGGACAATCTGATCCCTTGCAAGGAGGCAGGACTGAAGTTTGTTACTGGAGACATTATCCAGATTATCAACAAAGATGACAGCAACTGGTGGCAGGGGCGGGTGGAAGGCTCCTCCAAGGAGTCTGCAGGATTGATCCCTTCCCCTGAGCTGCAGGAATGGTAAGCCACATCTGTGCAGGTGGAAAGTGTCCACCTAAGCTAATTACTTAGCTTCAGAATTCTGCTGTCTTGTGTGTAGTTTCTGTTTCTCCTAAAGATACCTCCAAGCTTCCCTGAAGTAATGTGTGAGGTAGGATCCATGGGAATTGATAAAGTTGATTGAAAGGCCATTCATTGCAAGGAATTCATTGTGGGCCTCCATTTCCTCAAATGCTTTCCTCATAGTTACAAAGTCATCCCAGTCTCCTGAGTCTCTTCTACCACTCCATGCTGTTTCTGGGAAAACGTCCGAGTTCTATGGAAAGCAGTCACACTTTAAGTATGTGCCCTTTACGTAGATTCCTGTCCTCAAGTCAGATTGCTCACTTAGTACAAGGCTACTCTACGTGACCATAGGAGTGATAGAAAAGTTCATATCTCCTGTTGACTCTCTCTGCCTGTGCAAATATCATCACAACCTCAAAGAGTGTTACCTCCTATACTAGACCTTTACTTTTAAGCCAGAGTTCTGGTTAATCCCATCTTGAACGATGATAAATAGCACTGAACTACAGGATGTGCTTTGTAGAAATAGATGTTTAGCATTAGAGTGACAGAGGAAATGGAGTGCAGACCTGGAAGATGTTGGTCAAATCTTGAGTGTGCTGTCTGTGGCTCCTCAGTCATTTTTAAAACTAACATCTGGTGAAGAACATTGCAAAATCAAGAAAGGCAGATAGCTGAGGAAGATTCAGGAGAGTACAAGATGAATCAGTGGACCATTACTTCTTAATGAAGCATGAAATCAACTTAGTAGACTGCAATAAGTATTTTTGTTTAAATGAGGGCTAAGTTTTGTGGCTCATGCCTGTAATCCCAAACACTCAGGAGGCTAAGGCAGGAAAATCACTAGCTCAAGGCCACCTGGGCTATATAGTAAGGCCCTGTCTCCAGAACCACTAGGTATGGTGGCACATGCTTTTAGTCCCAGCACTCGAGAGGCAGAGGCAGGTGTATCTCTGTGAGTTCAAGGCCAGCCTGGTCTACATAGTGCATTCCAGGTCAGCCATTGCTACATAGTGAGACCTCATCTCAGAACAACACAACAACAATAAAAGATACCTCACAGAAATATTAGTATGTATTATACACAGTAATAGATGATGTTTACTGAAGCTTTTGCTTTAGTTGTATATGTGCTGTGTGTGTACACCTGTGCTTTATTTTTAGATATATGTATATGTTGTGGGGTTGCAGTGGGAAATACATTTTTTATAGTGAGGTGAGTGCCAGCCTTAAGGCCCCCTGCCTACTTCTGCCAGGGTAATACAGAGATGAGCTCCCAGAACTCAGCTCAGAGGTGGAAGAATTGTCAGGCTGCACTGAGGGGAGGATATTATTATTATTATTTTGTAGGAAAATGTCACAATAATATCCATTTACTTGCATGTCAGGCAAAGTTGTTTCAAATTTTCTCTAAATATCTATTCATTTTGGTTGAATTTTGCTCTGTTCTTCAGGTTGTCTAAACTCTATCAGACAATTTTCAGATTTGCTAATTTGTTCTCTGCCAGGTCAGATTTCCTAGAAATGCCTTAGTGATTTTTCATTCATGTTATATTTTTAAATCTTAATTTTTATGTGCTTATTTTTATAGTTTCTATCACTTTATTGAAATTCTTCACTTGACTAGACATTACCTTTATTCCCATTACTATTGTTTTTAGTATAACATACTTTTTTAGTGTTATTTTAGTACTTGTGTGTATTGCTATGTGTTTTCACTCACAATTTCTATATGATACTTTTTATTGAGTTTTGGTGTATTTCACAACATCTCAATCATCTTTATACCCCCTTCCCCATCAGTTCCCTCCCATAGCCCCCCACTGGATTTCATGCATTCTGTCATTTATATTAAGGCCTATTGAGTCAAGTTAGTGTCCCCTGACATCCCTCAGTGCAAGTTCATCCACTGGGGTCTAGTCAGCCTATCTAGAGTCACTCTCTTAAGGAAGATCAGCTCTTCGTCACCCAGCAGTAATCAGCCACCCAATAGTTCTTTGGCTAAGATTGGGACCTGCTTCCCTTTTTCATAGCTCTATGCTGGTTTTTGTCTACTTGAGTTTGCATGGGTTTTGTGTGTGCTTTCACCATTGCTCTAAGTTCATATGAGCAAAGTCCCAAGAGCCTGTAAGACTCTACTTCCATATGGTCATGCACCTCCTCCCCTGGCTCTTACAATCTTTCTGCCCTGAGGGGAGGATATTGTTTTTAAAAATATTATTTTTATTTTGTGTATGAATGTATTGCCTGTATGTATGTGAGTGCACCCGTGTTGTACAATGCCACAGAGGTCACAAGAGGGCTTCGGATTCTCCTGGAACTGGAGTTAAGGACGGTTTGTAGCCACCATGTGGGTGCTGGGAATCGAACCCGAGTCCTCTGTAAGAGCAGCCAGTGCTCTTAACTGCTGAGCCATCTCTCCAGCCCCTTATTTTTATTTTATGTATGTAAGTGTTTTGCCTGCATGTATGTAAGTGCCCCACATGTGTGCAGTGCCGTACAGAGGCCAGAAGAGGGTGTCAGATCCCCTGGAACTCAAGTTATAGACGGTTGTTAGCTGCCATGTGGGTGCCAAGACTCCAACCTGGGTCCTCTGGAAGAACAGCAAATGTTCTTAACTGCTGAGCCATCTCTCTGGCCCTGAGAGGAGAATATTATGATATCATTTCCTCCCAGACACATTTATTTCCATGGTTTGGGTGCCTATATAAAAACTACAGAGAAGAAAGGGAAGAGAAGTAGGTGAGTCCTAGGAGGCCATCTTTGCATGAAGATTTTTTGCAAAGTATAAAGGAAGTAGGTCAGTCTGAAAGCTTACTACAGAAAGGAAAGGAGATGGCTTAGTCTGTCACAGGCTTTTACACTGAGGACCTACTAATTCTTTGGTCATCTGTTCTTGACAGGAGAGTGGCAAGTGTGGTCCAGTGTGTCCCGAGTGAAGCTCCAACTTGCAGTCCCTTTGGGAAGAAGAAGAAATATAAAGACAAATATCTAGCCAAACACAGTTCAAGTAAGTTTTCTGAGTCCCCTTACTCCAGGATCCTGGTAGCACTAGCATTTCTCAGGCTCTTTAACCAGCAGGGAATGGGAAAGGATATGGTCAGTGTGCAATAGAACAGAGCATGTACAGAAAACATGCTGTTTCTTTGAGTTTTCTATTACTCATTTCATCTTTGACAACTCACTGAAGTCAGGGAGACAATGCTAGTGTGTGTCTAGGAAGGCTAGTGGTCTGTCCATACCTACTCATCGCCTCACGCCTCAGGTAACCAACTGAACAGTCTTCTGGGCTTACCTTTACTCTGTTCAACAACTTCATTATGAACTGGCTGTAAGATCTGAACAACCCCAGAGAATAGCCACTCATTTTTCTGAGAGCTACTTCTGGGTTTGTTTTTCATCTATCATGGCCAGAAATATTACAGTTACCCCTCAGTATCTGCAGAGGATTGGTTCCAGTATCCCATAGATACTAAAATCTACAGGTGCTCAATATCCTCATATAAAATGCTGTAGAATTTGCATATGACTTATTCTCCTGTGCATTTTTAAATCATCTCTCTAGATTTCCTGATACAATACAAATGTTATGTAAATAGTTCTACTATATATTATTTAGGGGATAATGACAAGAAAGCCTGTACATGTTCAATACAGATGCAAAGTTTTTCAAATATTTTCAGTTTGTGGTTGGTTGATTCTGAGGATGCTGAGTCCATGAATATGGAGAACTGAGTGTATAATCCAATGTCCTAAGTGAGTTCAAGTAGGTTGCTAATAATGAATAGGAATCTACCATATATTCAGTGTTTCCATCCTGTTGGGAACATTTTGACAGGTACAAGAAAGAGCATGAGGAAATCACAGAACCTGAAGTCATCATGGCCAAAGTATCCATTTGGGAAGGAGTAGTGAAGTGTTGGCCTAAGAGCCACATTTCAAGTAGTATTGACATTGACTTCTAAGTGTCTATCAGACAGCTACGTTCTATATCCTAGGGAGCTAGAATCTGGAAATAGAGAAACTTTAGGTTATGGAGAGAACTACAGCAGGCAAGAAAGGTCAGTTTTGAGAGACAGAAAAAGAGATAGGGGAGCAGAAAGATTTTGGGGTTTTTGCTTTTTGAGACAGGATCTCCCTGTAGCCCCAACTAGCCTGGAACTCACTATGTAGACCAGGCTGGCCTTGATCTCACAGAGATCCACTTACCTCTGCCAAGTGCTGGAACTAAAGGCGTGTGCCACCATGCCTAGCGAGAGCAGAGAGTTTTAAAAAGTTAGGAAAAATCAATTTAGTACTAAGGACCGACTGACAGAGCCATGTCAAGAGTTCTGATGAAGGATGTTGGGAAAATTGGATCAAGGCCCCAAAAGAGCTCATATAATAAAGAATGAGACTGCTCTCACATTGTGTTCTTCATAATTCCTTATCAGCACCTCCCCTGACTGCTGCAGCCATTGTGCTAGCATTTCCAAATAGCATAGCATTCTTCAGTAACATAAACAGTGAGCCATGGAGTTTGGTTTGACTAAGAGTCTCACTGCTTAGATCCCAGCCCCCGCAATCTTCTTACCTAAGTCAAGATCATTTTTTTAAAAACTAAATGAAGTCATGTCAGTTCTTTTCTCTGAACTCTCTCATTGGGGCGGGGGGGGGGCGTATTTCTTGCTTTGCTTTATTATGTGCCCTTGTGGACATAATACCTTTTTAAAAAATCTTTCATCACGATAAAAAAAAATATCCAAAGTCCCTCCCCTCAAACCTCTCTGATCTCATCTCCACCGTCTTTCTCCCAGCTTTTTTTTTCTCTCAGCCTCCCAAGTGCTAGGATTGCAGTCTTGCACCACCACATCCAGCTCTCTCTCTCTTTGCTTGATCAGGTGTCAGTCCATTAACCCCAGCCAGTGCTTTCCCACCTCAGCTCTGGAAATGAATGTGGCTTGGTTTTCTTTGTTTCTAGTATTTGACCAGTTGGATGTTGTTTCCTACGAGGAAGTTGTTCGACTCCCTGCATTCAAGAGGAAGACCCTGGTGCTGATCGGTATCTTTTCACTGCCCCTCACAGCTTTGCTAATTCAGGAACACAATTCTGTCCTTATTTCCCTTTCTGTATAATGTGTCTACTCTTCAGGAAAGATAGTGAGGGAGAAATGGAGTGAGGTCTCTTGAATCTTTCATACTTCATGGAGGGCAGTTATAAAGAACTTTTGGATCCTATAAATAATTTATCTGGATCTAGTTCACATTATATGTTTTTCTACTATTTAGCAACTAATTATTTTATATTGGGTTTGGCTCTGTACCTCTTTCTCCACCTGTTTGGCTGGCTTACAGAATAAACAGAAAACTCTATAGTAGCTGGTTCTTCTGTGGAAATGGCAGTTATGTTCTGTGCCCTGACCCTTAGGCCTGAGGAAAAGACTTCGCATATAAATGGATACAAAGGACCTGAAGCTACTTTTGGTGGCCCCAAATCTTCTGGCAGCTCAAAGGCTTCAGTTCCAGCCCAGATACAGTACTAACCTCTCTTCAGTTATTGGCATCTTTGAGCACTGATAGATGGAAATTCATGACCCATTTCCTGTCTCATCCCCACCATTGTCTAAGGAGGAAAGTGATGGAAGCCTTTTTTTTTTTTTTTTTTTTTTTTTTTTGCCTCACACAGGAGCCAGTGGGGTGGGTCGCAGCCATATTAAGAATGCTCTGCTCAGCCAGAATCCAGAGAAGTTTGTGTATCCTGCCCCATGTAAGTAGTTCTCAGGTACCTTGTAGGGGAATGTAATGCCTAGGGGACAAGGCAGCAATGTCATGTTATCACACTTACCATAACTGTCTGTCTAAGACTCCATGTGGACTTTTTTGTTATTTTATTTAAAATGTTTCATTATGAAAACCGAGAATTTGAGAGGCTGGGGAGATACATCAGTCAGTACCTGAGTTCAGTCCTCAGAATCCACATTTCAAAAAAAGCCTGGCATGGTGGTGTGTACTTGTAATCCCAGCATTAGAGAGGTGGAGACAGCAGATACCTCGAGCTCACTGGCCGGCCAGCCTAGCCTTCTTGGCATGTTCCAGGCCCGTGAGAGAATCTGTCTCAATAAATAAAAGGTGGGGGCTGGAGAATTGGCTCAGTCTTTAAGAGCACAGTGGTTGCCCTTGCAGAAGACCAGGGTTCGATTCCCAGCACCCACATGGTGACTAACAGCCATCCATAACTCCAGTTCCAGGGGAATCTGATGCTCTCTTCTAACCTCTGCAGGCATTGCATGACACACATGCACTTGCATACATGCAGGCAATACTATACATAAAATAATAATAACAAATTAAAAAAAATAAATATGTTGGGCATGATGGTGCACTCCTTTAATCCCAGCACTTGGGAAGCAGAAGCAGGTGGATCTCTGTGAGTTCCAGGCCAGCTGGAGGTACAGGGAGACCCTGCCTCAAAAAGACAAAAATAAATAAATAATAAGTAAATAAATGGCCAGGCATGCTAGCGCATGCCTGTAATCCTAGCACTTGGGACGTAGAAGCATGTGGATCTCTGCGACTTCAAGGCCAGCTTGGTCTACATAGTGAGTTCCCGGCCAGCTGGGGCTACAGGGAGATCCTGTGTCAAGAAGACCAATAAACAAAGGAAAAATAAATAAATACATAAATACATAAATGGTGGGCAGCACCTGAGGAATCTCAGGTTGTCCTGTGACCTCCACATATGTGCATACATGTACATGTACACCCACCCCCACACACAGACCCTAACAATTTGGAAATAATAAAATGTGTGAAAGGAGAGACCCAACTCATGCAGATTGTTCTTTGATGTTCACCCACACACATGCACACACATACAAGTAAGTGTAAAAAGTTTTAATGTGTACTTATAATTGCTTGACATAACAAATAACTTGAATTGTTCTAATGATAGACTCCATAATAAACTTTTTATCCTATTTTAAAAAATATTAAGCAAGAATTAAAAGTTATGCATATTACTGTATTTTACTTTATAAACAATTTTCATGGTCTCATCTGCCTAATTCACTTTGATAGCTATCTTATAATCCTTTGATATACATAATTTCAATATTGGACAGCTGTAACTTCCTTAGGTATTTCACTATTGTTTCACATTTAGGCTGCCTCTAATTCTCATGGAATGTCTTCTAAACCAAAGCAGGGCTCAGGAGAAACATACAATCATGGTGGCAAATATAGAAGATAAAACCAGTGGTCAATCACACAAGTAGATGAATCTTCCATTCCAAGATAGAATCTGTCCAGTACAGTTCTGTATATTCCCATAAAAAGGTATTGCTAATCAAATTGGAAAACCAGGTTGTGAGTCTGATGTTATTTTTTTTTCTTTTCATTCTTCTGTATTTGTGTTTTACACATGGATCGTTGAGTGAGAGTTGCTCATAGGAACATAGTGACAGTCACTCCAGTAGTGGATGGCCCAGGGTTGAGGTGGAAAGGATGTTTGGAAATAGAAATAACCAATGTGGACTCCTCATTCTTTTAAGAATGACTGAGAACGGAGCTAGAGAAAGGAGATGATACATAAAGACGATGTCAAAGGAGAGTTTTTAATAAATGGAAAGAGACAGATGCATTTGTAGGTTGAGAAGAAGCATCCACTTGACAGACAAGTGGCTGCTATTGAAGGTAAGGGAGAGGCTGGGAATATAGAGTTTATATCTGTAGTACAATGCAACTTAACTTAAAAAATTATTTAGTATGGCGGGGGGATACTCATATCACAGTACATGTGTGCAGGTCAGAGAACAATTTAAAGGAATTGGCTCTTTCCTTCCACCATGTGGGTTCTGAGACTCAATCAAACTCAGGTCATCAGACTTGTGCAGCAAGTGCTTTTACCTGCTGAGCCATCTTGTAACCTTTTAACAATATGTTTAAACCAAACCAATAACTTTTCTTTAAGCCATGTCATTAAAAAAAAAAAAAAGAAACAAGGACTAGAGAGATGGTTAGGTTGTACACTGCTTATTGCTCTTGCAGAGGACGTGGAGTTCAGTTCTCAGCACCCACTTCAGGTGGCTCAAAACTGCCTGCAATCCAACTCCATGGGATCTGACACCCTCTTCTGGCTTCCACGGGCACTGTGTGTGCACTTGCATGCACACACACACACACACAAATAAAAAGAAAATTTTTTTTATTTTTTTATTCTGCGTGTATGAGTATTTTATCTGCGTGTAAGTCCACATATGTCATGCAATGCCCACAGAGGCCAGAAGAGAGCATCCAAGGAGTTGGAGTTTTAGATGGTTGTTAGCTGCCATGTAGGTCCTGAGAACCAAACCTGGGTCTTCTCCAAAAGCGGCCAGTGGTCTCATCTAGTGAGCCATCTCTCTAGCCCTCAAGTACTCTTTTCTTGAGACAAGATATCACTGTATAGACCAGGCAGGCCTCAAACTCACAAAGATCTGCCTGCTTCTGCCTCCTGAGTGCTAGGATTAATGGTGTACCACCATACCCAGCTATAATTTTTTTTTAAGGAAACACATGTAGTTCTAGAAAATCCTGACCATAGCCTATAAATACAGTTTAAGATATTTTTTTAGGTATCATTTCCTTATTTCTGAGTCTAAGTATTCCTGGGTTTGTTGCTTTCATATGGGGGAAATGATGGAAATATTCTACATAGGGCTTTGCCTCTTGAAAATTAAATATATTCTGAGCAGATGGTGGATCTCCTGATCTACACTACCTCCTAGCATCAGCCCTTCAGGAATCCATGGGAGAAATTTCTATATTACGCTCTCTGCCCCAATGGCAGGTAGGAGTTCCATACAGACACTTTGGGCCAAGCCATTTAGAGATGGCAAGGCACCTTATATGCATGTATGAAATTCTCAATAAATTATTTTTTTAAAAAAAGAGATGGCAAGGACCAAGAGGTTGCCAAAGATTTGAGTTTTTGTATACAGATACAACACGGCCGCCAAGGAAGAGTGAAGAAGATGGGAAGGATTATCACTTCATCTCAACAGAGGAGATGACAAGAAACATCTCTGCCAATGAATTCTTGGAGTTTGGCAGCTACCAGGGCAACATGTTTGGCACCAAATTTGAAACAGTGCACCAGATTCATAAGCAGGACAAGATTGCCATTCTTGATATTGAGCCCCAGGTGGGTAAGCACATGCTGTAGGTGGAGAAGGGGACAATGAAAAGCAGAGCACTACATGGTAGCTAACAGCTGTCTGTAACTCCAGAAGAGGATCCGACAGACTCTTCTGTGGTCCACGGGCATTGCATGACACGGGTACATTTACGTACATGGAGGCATAACACTCATACACATAAAATAAACATAATAAATAAAATATTTAATATTCTGATGCATAACTTTGTTAACCTTAATCGATTAAGAAATGCCTGTGAGAGGCTGGAGAGATGGCTCAGCAGTTAAGGGCACTGACTGCTCTTGCAGAGGACCTGGGTTCGATTCCCAGCACCCATTTGGTGACTATAAACCGTCCTTAACTCCAGTTCTGGGGAAATCCGAAGCCCTCTTCTGACCTCTGTAACATTGCAGGACACAGGTGCACTCATACACTCATAGACACATGAAAAATTAATAGTATTTCTAAAAAAAAGAAATGCTGCCTCTGCTGTGTTTGTGATGGAGTCTGAGGAGAAAAAAAAAAGAGACTAGTCAAGAGGACTTTGGCATTAAAGGAAGCTAGTGAAAGACAGAGGGGCCCTCGTTGGAAGAAGTAGGACACTGGAGAGGGTTTGAAGCTGCATTTCAGCCTGGCTCCTTCTTATGTTCCTCTTCTATCGGCTTCCTGTCTGTCAGTGGGTAACTTAATGCTCTGCCGAAACACCTGGGGCCAAGCATCCACGAACAGCATCCTCTGATACCAGGAGCCCAAACAAACCTTTCCCCTTAAAAAAATAAAAATAAATAAAATTTTTAAAAAATTTTAAAAAAGAAAGGAAAAAGCAGAGCTCCTGGGAGTCTTCCGGGAGCTCAGAGTTGCCTTTTAGTGAGGACAGCTGATACAAGAACAGTAGTTCTGGGGATGATGCAGAGTAGTACTGAGCCTGTTAAAGCTTTTCAGGAGTCCATTCTGACAGCTGTTTTCTTCTTTCCTTTTCTCCCTCCTTCCTCTTTTTCTAGACTCTGAAGATTGTTCGGACAGCAGAGCTTTCACCTTTCATTGTGTTCATCGCACCTACTGACCAGGGCACTCAGGTGAGCAAGGGGGACTCTGCAGGGTGGACAGGGGTTTTCCTCCTTCTGGGTCATTGCCACCTTGTTTCCTCCAAGGCGAAGACCCGGGCATGCATGTTTTATTCATTCAAGAGGCAGTTTAACAGCCAGCTAGACCACTCACAGGGACAAAACAAATCAGGCTGTCATTGCCCCTGGATGATACAGGGCTAATGACAGACAAGGATAATGGAGTAAATTCTAATTCTGATGTGATCTGGGCTTATCTGGAACAAGCAAAGGGTGCCATGAAGGACAGATGTGGCACTGGACGCACTGGGGTGCACTATGGCTGTAAAGAGAAAGGAGCCCATAAGAATGTTTCCTTATTGCATATCATTCATCAGGTTTTTAAAATTTTTTGGCTTAATGTTACAGGACAGTAGCACTTCACTCTTACTGTAAGAGTCTGTGTTTTTGTACTATTAAGAGCCATTCGGAGGCTGGAGAGATGGCTTGGCAGATAAGAACACTGGCTGCTCTTGCAGAAGACCAGGGTTCAGTTCCTGGCACCCACATGGTGGCAACCATCCTTAACACTAGTTTCAGGGGAACCAACACCCTCTTCTGGCCTCCATGTGTTTGCATGAACGTGGTACACTTATATACATGCTAGCAAAACACTTGTACATGTAAAATAAAAATATTTTTTAAAAGAGCTATTTGTAAACTGGGTGTGGTTATGCACACCTGTAATCCCAGCACTTGGAATGTGAAGGAAAAAAACAGTTCATAGCCAGTCTGGACTACCTGACTCTCTCAAAACACCAAACAAGAGTGAGGCTGCTCCATAAACAAAAAACAGAGCCATTTGTGTTATCCTTTTGGATCTAATACTTTGTTTCCATTGAGTTAATGCCTTGATCTTTTCCATTGCTAAGAACTTTTATTTTACTATGCAGATATTTTTACTTTTAAGAAAGTTAACCAAATTTTTTCATGCCTGATTTAGAGCCACAGGCCTGGAATTGTCAGTCACCTTTGCCTTTGCCCTGGGATTTAAGCTCTAGTAGTTGCTAAAATGACTTTGCCATGTACAAATTAGTGGAAGGTACTGGTGAAGCCTGTACTGTACAGCTGTTGGTCTTCCACAGGATTGTATATAACCAAGGTTAAGATTTGTAGTGTTCTGAACTGGTTGACCATCAAGGAGACTATCTTCAGTTGAACCTTTAAGGTGATAAAGGGCTGGGGATGTCGCTCAGAGATAGAGTGCTTAGCACATACCAGGCCCTAGATTGGATGCCCAGCATGGGGAGTTGGGGGATCGTTAATAGGGAGTCAGGCAATGCTAACAGCAATCAATGTCTGTTTTAAGTCTGCCCTTGGCCTCTAGGCTGGGGCTGCTGAATCCTGCTTATGACTCTTTCTTCTTTGTAGACTGATGCCCTGCAGCAGCTGCAGAAGGACTCTGAGGCCATCCGTAGCCAGTATGCACACTACTTTGACCTCTCTCTGGTCAATAATGGTGTTGATGAAACTCTTAAGAAATTGCAAGAAGCCTTTGACCAGGCATGCAGTTCTCCACAGTGGGTGCCTGTCTCCTGGGTTTACTAGCTTATAGAATGGGAGAACCCATTCCAGCCCCTCTCCAGTATTTGGAATGCCATTTCCCTTGCTTAAGTCAAACAGGGCTGCTTGAACTAGTTGTGTCAGCTTCCAGCTCTCTGTAACTGTTTCAAGTATGTCAATATAATTCAGTCTTCTCACTCAGGCTCCTGAAGGGCTAAGATTTGATTTCCCTCTTACGTGGATTTCAAAACTATCTCTGGAAATCTGGATTATGAAATACCATCAAATGCCAGGCATGGTGGTGCACACCTTTAATCCCAGCACTCCGGAGGCAGAGGCAGGAGGATTTCAGTGAGATCAAGGTCAGCATGGTCTACAGGGACACCTGCCTCAAAAAGAAAAAAAGTACCATCAAAATGCAACTGCTAATTGTCAATAATATACAGAAAAAGGGCCCCTATCCCTCACAAGCCTGAGCTCCTTTACTTTCAACCATACTGGGTATATGTTCTTTTGTCTTTTTTCTCTGGATTAAATATCTTCTGAAATTTTCTAAGATACCCAAATCAAACAGCTGTGCAATAGAAATTATGCTCTAGGGAAACTCTCAAAAGCAATAAAAAAGCTGTGCTAAAATTCCAATAACCTTGTAATTCTGCATTTCCGTATGTACAACAACCTTCTAGAAAGCAAAGTGTTTGCTAAGCTCCTAGGCAATGGCATGAACTTAAGATGCTTCTCTATGGTTATGTACAATGCGCCTGGAAACTCCATGACCTCCCCACTGCAGTCTCCAGGGGCTGTTCACATAAAGCATAAGGTTGTTTATGTGGAGGCCATTGTGCATTTAAGCTTTTTGTTAAGTCAAACTAGAGTGATCACACCCTACAGAAATGGGCTAGACCAGGGTTAGGAGATCCTCTACATATCTGAGTAATCCCATGGCTACCTACAGCTCAGACTCGGACCTCTGCTGTATCACAAGATTTCCCTACAAACTTCCTGGCTTTTGGCACCAAACTTTTAAGTAAATGTAGTAGACTTTCCCACTAACAATCACACCAAGAAAGCCTTCAAATTTGTAATTTGCCCCACCCCCGGCTTTTCTCTCCATATTCACCCTATAGTCAACACCAGAACCAGTTGTTTCCCCAAAGCAAGTCAAAGCTCTCTACAGGTATATATGCTCCAACCCGAACACCCTCACAAGCTTGTCCAACCCCAGGTCCACTATGCAACACACCTGCCTTTCCTTTCTGTTCTTGAGAATGCTGTTATTTGTGAAAATCCCACTCAAGAGCATTTGACCCCAGGTGAAAGACCTCAATGAAGAGAAATTTTAAAGTAACCAAAGCAGGGGCTAGAGAGATGGCTTAGAGGTTACGAGCACTGACTGCTCTTGCAGAAGACCCAAGTTCGAGTCCCAGCACCCACATGGTGGTTAACAACTATCCACAATTCCAGGATTTGACACGTTCTGACCTCTGCGGGCATTTGCACAACATGGCTACACTTACACACATGCAGGCAATACACTCACACACATAAAATAATAAATATTTTAAAAGGTAACCAAAGGAAAAGCAAATTTCGTAAAGATCTCCAAATTTTTAATAAAAATATTTTATAGCTTTTGCTCTGCCAGTCTGAGATCATTAACAATTAGTAAACCCAATAGGAATACTTTTAAAAGTTCATGAGTCCACTTTAATAACTAAAAAAGTACATTCTTCCAGCAATGAACAAATCCATTCTTCAAAAGCAAATAAAGGTTAAAAAAATGAGGGAGCAGGAATGGTTTGGCTTCCACCACAAACACAAGTAGCCAGACAGAGTTGGATAAATGGCTTTGGTGAAGTGCACTAAGTGCTATGCCAAAAACACAATGGACGACACCAGATCAGCAAGGGCTATACCCGACACCAGAATAGAGCAGCCTTCACAGGACAAGATCTCCCCAGTGAACACCATTCACTTAGATTTCTTTTACTCATAGACGGTCCTATACCATTTCATTTAGCAGACTTGTTTTACAAGTATCAAAAAAAAAAGAGAAGACTAGGCTGCTGTTTAAAATGGTCATTAGGAAACAACTGCACACAGTTACTGGGCAGTGCTGGGTCTGAAGGTCCAGCTTCCCCACTCAAGCAGAGGTCAGTAGAAGTCGTCTGCTTTTCATCACGCATATCCTTAAAACAGGACAGGATGGGATGAGCACACCAGCTAACCACCAAGGTCACAAGTTGCAGCTGAAGTGTGCCAGAAGTCTCTACTCTGGGACCTTTGTTCAATCCCTCAAAGTTTCCTCAATAAGGCTTTGATTTCTCCTCCCAGCTGGATGCAACTTCAAGTGGCTTTTACTATTCAGACACTTCTACCACTTTTACTTTCTTCTTCTTTTTCTTCTTTTTGGTGGCATCACTGTCCTAGAAAGACACAGAAACAAAGCTCAAAGCACCCACAAAACAATTATGATTACTCCCAAAGAAATCTGGTAAGTTGTATAGTCAAGTCTATTCAGGATCTGTAAGGACAATTGTATTTAAAGAAATTCTTCATGTGACATGAAGTGCAGTAAGCTTCGCAGTGAAGTCCTAGTGACCTATTTTCACAAGGGCGGACATTCATATGATCATGATAGAAATCCTCCCCACCCACCAGCAACAGAATTCAAACTATGAGCTATTTTTCTAAAAGGCTGGATGCCTCACCTGTCCATCCAAGGGTGTAGACAGAAGAATTGCAGATCACAGGGCAGCACCAAAGGCACTGCCAAGACGCAAAGGAAGCATCCCACTCTTGTGCCACAGCACCTCCAAGAATTAGGCAACACTGCCTGGCTAATTTTTTCCCCCAAGTCAAAGACTCAGCCAGCCCAAGGTACCCAGGGTTTATACATACTCCATCTCCAGCCTCATCCCCACTTTCCAACACAGTTTTGGCCTTCTTATCCTTCTTATTTTTCTTCTTTTCCTTCTTCATCAACTGGGCAGCTGCTGGAGGAATCTCATCACTTTCACTCTCACTCTCCCGCTTCCTCTGAGATGAAAACAATTTTCTGAAGTTAGAAGTGTGGGAAATTACCAAGAAAAATCCCAAGTAAACCCAACAGCAAGTTTTGTGCTTACAAACCTGAACAGTCCCTTGACTTACTGAGTTTTAAAAATTTTTTATTGTTGCCTGTGTAAATGTATATGCATGTGTGTCTGTGTGGGGGCATGTGCACTATGTGTGTGTCTGCAGAGACCAGAAGAGGGCATTGGACTCCCTACAGCTAGAATTACAGCTGGTTGTGAGCTGCTTGACATGAGTACTAGGAATCAAAGTCTGGAAGAACAGCAAGTGCTCTTAATCACTGAGTCATCTCTGCAGCTTCTTACTGAGTGCTTGAAGACACAAAATTTTGCTGGATAAAAACATAGTAAGCTATGGGGCATGATGGGAATACAAAAGCAGCGTGGACTACAAGGCTTATAAGTGGTCAACTTAAGTGCACAAAGAAACAGGCAAAGCAAGAATTCACATATTGGCAGGGGGAGGGTGTCCACCCACATAGCTTAGTACTGGTCACTCGGGTTTCTGAAGAGTGCAGACATACCATTCCTTGGGAAGCCAAGTTACCACAACATGTTTCACTGTGGAAAAATGGGTACTGACTCAAGAGGTTGCTGGCATCTGACAATTCTGTTGTATAATGATTTTTCTATGGGCCTCTGATTTCAATACACCAATGCTACCTCCAAGGTAGGGCCAAAGTAATGCATCATACCCATTCTATCGTACTGCTATTGTCACAGCTGAGGTGGAAGCGAAGGCCAGCCTGATTTCTAAGCCTACCCCGCCCCAGAAGACATGACAAGGAACATGAATAAAAACAGGCTACTGAGCCAACAAGCATCCTCAAGTATGAGACAATATCTGTATGTGCATATAGTAAGGATAAGGCTCATGAGAAAGCCTGCCTTACTAGCCAGGATTACATGGGTAAACTTAGATAGGTTATTAAACACTGGTGCTTCTAAGAATTATTTCCAAACAGATCACGCCACTTACTTTTTTGACTTTTACTGATTCAGCAGCTACCTGAGGGGCTGGTGGTGCTTCTGCAACCACTTCTCTCTTGCCAGAATCACTGAAAGACAAAGGTAATATGAAGTCAAATTCACTGAACAGCATCCCATGGTGCTCCTGCCTTGTCCCATTATTCCCACCATCAAAACATTAATGCTTAGGCTAAGCATGACGGCACACACCTTTATAAAAGCCAGCACTCAGGAAGAAGAGGCAGACAGATCTCTGTGAGATTGAGCATAGCCTGGTCTATGTTGTGAGTTCCAGGCCAGTCAGGGCTACATAGTGAGACACCCCCCCACACAAATATAAAAACAAATAAATAAAAATACTCACCAGTTGCTTCTACAGATTGATTCCCTCTAGGGCCACGATCTGACTAGTAGGTAAGCTCAGGCCTGTATAGCAGGCAGTAAATAGTGGGCCCAGGCCTCACAGAGCCCAGGAAGGAAAACTGAGGTGCAATGCTGGGGCCTATTGTCCAGTATTGAGCAGTTGCCCAAAGTAACCCCTTCTATCTCCCCTGGGCTGTGTAATCTCCTGTCCTCACCTGTAATCAATGTCCAAATAAGAAGTGTACTATCTTACTCTAGTCCCTGAAAATTCCTGTCCTCACCTGTAGTCAACATAGTCCTGTTTCCAGGTGGCAGGGGTGTTGTCTGTGGGCTTGCCATGCTTGTCCAGAAGGCCCTGCTTGATCATCATCTTCTTCTGACTTGCCTGACGGAATGTCAGCATTTCAAACGTTAGTATTAATGTACGAAGTGGGCATTATGGCCACACACTGTGGCTTAGACCCCGTCTGCACAGAATGGCACCAAGTTTCTTATGTATTCTCAGGAGGGTTTCCTGTCTCTTGCAGAATTGCCTCTCATCTTAAAATGTCATCAATGTCTAACTTACTCTTTACAATGGCATAAGAGAAAATTTCTTGCTTAGGCCCCATGATCCAAAATACGGTTGAAACTCACTGTGAATGGTCCAGGTAGGAAGATACCTCTCCACACCCCTAACAGCCATTAATATCACTGAAGTTCACTATCCCACTATGTGCTTACTTAAGTAATGACCAAAAGTTTCCCCCAACTAGACTGAGAGTCTCTAAGGTTCAAGATAAGGGATGCTCACCATCAATAATCCAGAGCCCAGAATAATACAAGGCTGCAACAATGGAGATACATGTAGAGATGCCTCAATGGATACTCAACAACACTCAATCAAGGGCTACAACTAAGTGCTACTTACCTTTGGGCCTAAACCCCACTTGCGAGGGTAAGTGTCTCTCTCCATGATTACTCTCTTGATCTTGGCTACTATACCATGATCACAGGTAGAAATCACTGCTGTAGTCATTAATGCAATAGCTGCAGGATTGGAAAGAGATAAATATTTACAAGGTTAAGATCTGGGTGCTAATTCCACTTTTTCATGTCATTTTACAACTCCTTTAAACTGAGCCTCATTACCTTAACTGAGCTTTCCTTTGTTCAGGATGTACATATGGAGAAAATTCTCTATTATAGGAAAGAAGCTTTTGAAGTGTTGTTAAATTTATCAAGTTAAAAACATTGAACAGAAGCAATGAAGACATGGCAAGACATATGGCTCTGGAATGGTGCAGGAATGGCATGCACACTAGGATCAAAGAACATCAAGTTTTTTGGGTTTTTTGGTGTTTTTGAGACAGGGTCTGGCACTTACAGAGATCCACCTGCCTTTGTCTCCCAAGTGCTGGGATTAAAGGCATGTGCCATCACACTGGACAAAACATCTAATGTTTTAAGGACCTCATCTAGGTCAGCTGTGTTGGCGCACTGGGAGGCAGAGGCAAGTGGATCTCTGTAAGTTCCAGGTCTACATAGTGAGTTCTAGGGCTGGGGCTACAGGGAGACCCTGTCTCAAAAAATAAAAAAAAAAAAAAAAAGATCTCATCTATAGGGATACAACCTTATATGGCTCCCCCATCCCAAAGAACTGAGACAAAGGATCTTGGTGACATGCTTTATTTTTGGTGCTAATTAGGACTACTGAATGAATAACTCTGTCTTATTCATTAAGACCACAGAGCATTGAAAGTTAGAAGGGTTAATAATCCAATAGCAGCTAAATCTTCACAAATTAAAACTCACCAATACTAACAAGTTACCTGAAAAGAGTAAGCTAAAGGCTCCCTGCTTTCTTTGCTCATCAGACAGCTAACAGCACTCCACTGGAGAGCCAAGGGCGTATGCATGCTCAACACCTCCTTACCTGTGCCCAACTGACCCATCTCTTTCATGGACCATCCATATAGACAAAGACCCCTCCAGGAGACATCACAATTAAATAAAATCCCCCAGGACAGAGGACTAGCTTAGCTCAGTGATGGTGCAGAGCCTCAACTCCAGAACTGATGAAGGTGACTCCTTTCCTTACCTATGCAGATAGCTTCTCCCTTGGTGGTAATGACCACGATCTCCTGGTTAACCTCAATGCCATCCTCATAGCGGAGAACACCAGGAAGCATGATCTTGGCCCCATAGCAGATTGCATTCACCTGAAGAGGTAGTATCAGTTATGAGGGTCAGATGCTCCATCCTACTTCCATACCAGAACAGCATAAGAAAATAAGGGGGAGGTGGCCTGGGTATAGGAAATAGAACTAACAGCACTGATAGCCCATTCACCACAACAGGGCACAAAGGGACACAGAAATGTATCAAACACTTAACTATGTGCCAGGACCTGCTCTAAGAATTTCACACATGACTCAAATCCTAAAGACAACTTTTAAACTGACGACTATTCATATTTTTATGACATTTTAGCTGTTAATGACTACTGCCTTTGGGGCCAGTGAGATTGCTCAGCAACCCTGATGGACCTAAGTCCATCCTGGAACCCCATAAAGGTGGAAGGAGAGAACTGATTCCACAGTTATGTTCTGACCTTCAAACACATGCTGTGGCATGTGTGCCCCCCTCAATATCAGAACACATGCACAATAATAAATAAATAAAAATTTTAAATATAAATAGCCTGGCATGTTAGGACATGCCTTCAATTCCAGCACTTGAGAGGCAGAGGCAGGTGGATGTTTGTGAGCTTAAGGCCAGCCTGGTCTACCTGGCAAGTTCCAGGCCACCTAGGGCTAGAGAGAATGTCTCAAAATAAAAAAATGGGTTAATAACCTAAGCAGGGTTTGGGGCTCTCTGTTTCCCATGTGGACTCCAGGTTTTGTCTCTTAAGCAAATAAAGCAAAATCTGCCTTAGGGACCAAAGATATGACTCAGTGGGTAAAGGCACTTGCCACCAACCCTAACAACCTGAGTTCAATCCTTGTAACCCACATAGTAGGAGAGAACCGAGTGCATGTTGTCCTCTGACCGCCACATATATACTGCGGCACACGTGTGCCCACTTATATACAGACATACAAAATAAATAATTTAACTGCTAATTTCATGGTGCATGCCTCTAATCCCAGCACTTGGGAGGCAGAGGCAGGCAGATCTCTGTGAGTTCCAGGCCAGCCTGGTCTACATAGTGAGTTTCAGGCCAGCAGGAGCTAACATAGAGACCTTATCTCAAAAAAAAAAAGGAAAAAAACCAAGCCAGGCATGGTGGCACACATCTATAATCCTAGCACCCAGGAGGCAGAAGTAGGAAAATCGTGAGACTGATGCCAATTTGGCCTACATAGCAAGTTCCAGGCCAACTGGGGCTCCAGAGAAACCCTGCCTCAAAAAACAAAAACAAACAAACAAACAAAAAAACCTGCCTTAGAGCTTCCAGACTTGCTCTCTTCTAATCTATCACAATAGTATTATTTACTAGAGATTCAAGCAATTAACAGACTCCCAAAATAACTTGCAAACAAGATTTCCAGGCCTGTTCATTATATACATTTCTGGCCTGTTGGTACAAGTTGATTTAAGGTCACTTCACCAGTTCAATGACCCTAATGCATACATGTGCTTCATATCATTTTGTCTTTACTCACCTATAGCTTTTAAAAAATTTTATTCATTTTTACTTTATGTGTATGAGTGTTGCCTGCCTGTATGTAAGTGGACATGTACGGTGCACCCCACAGAGGCCAGTTTGTAACCACCACGTGTGTGGGTGCTAGGAACTGAACCCGGATCCTCTGCAAGAGTGGCCAGTGGTCTTAACTGCTGAGTCGTCTCTCCAGCCCCTCACCAAGATCTCTTGCTGACCATATTCTACTTTCTCCTTAAATTCACCCAGAGGCCAACAGTGTGACCCCACCACAAGGAAGGCACCACTTTCCGAAGTCTACTCTTTATGTGGTTATATTTTCTCAGGTCCTATAAGTATGCCTCTTCAGTTTCTCCCCCTTTATTATGGACTTTAGCATAAAATTATTACACATACATACATATAATTTAAGATAATTATCCAACCCCAAACTGTTAAATACACAGAAATTCATGTCCCTTAAAAACTTTATGGCTATATATTAGGGCTATTTCTATTTTATAAGGGTATGTAATAAATAAGCTAATTAAGAGCTGATGATCAGCTAAGTGAGGTTAAAATTTTACTGCTCAAACTATAATGTATTTCAACAGAAAACATTTCATTGAAATGCCTACAGACTAAATAACAGCTCTGAAACACTAGTCTCAACCTTTTCCTAGTGAAACCATCTTTCCTAATCATTTTAAATCAAGATTTCTTAGGCACAGCCAGAAGCAACAAGTTACAGGAGGACAAATTTTAAGTACCACTAATAGTTTAGTACCTGAAAAAAGTTACTTAGGGAAAACTCTTAAGTCAATGTTAAATTACCTTATTTAAAATACAAGTAGACCTAGCATTGAAATTTTAAGTATCTGGTTTTGACTTTAAAATAGATTTAGCCATAAGTATTCCCATTATTAACACCACAAAGAGAACCTATACAACTAGGAACAAAAGGAAAGAACCCACAAGGAAACTAATTCATATGATCTCACTGCTAACATTTCATCTTTGGAGTCACATTCTATACAAACCTAGACTTTTAATCTAGAACTTACTGCACTATCTTTCATAACCAGCCGTTTATGAGATGTCAACAGCTTTTCCAAAGGGTAAACAACACGCCGCAAGTAACTTTCATCCTTATGGTTATCATATAACCACTGAGCATCGAGTACGTCGTGCATTGTCACCATGTGGTCCTGAAAAGCAGATAGGCAAACAATTCATTGTCTTCCTATCTCATACCCACCAGACCCCAAACTTCCTAGAACTGAATGTAACTATAACTTCTCTGCTAGTCTAAGCTCACCAGTCAAGAACTGCTTCTTTTGGGTATTTGTAACAGTTGATACATTAGATCTAAACAGGCACTCTATCGTTTTTTGGGTACTGCTAGGGTTAGAACTGTACATGCTAAGCAAGTGCTCTACCACTGACTGAGTCACACTTCCAAATTCCCAAGCAGGAACCCTGTAGGCTAGGAATAAGTGAATAAAGTAATACTTTCTAGTCAATCATTTCCCTTAGCCAATTTCAATGTCCCAAAGTTTAATTAACAGAACAGGGAAGCTGCCCTGAACTGAACTCAACACTTTGGAAACTGTCTTTCCCAAGATATAAATTAGACAGTTTTACCAACGGCAGAAAGTAAACAAGAATCAGCTCTTAAACTTAGAGCCCCATAATGCCATACCTTTTCACTCATGACTCCAGAACGAACCCTCCGAAGTTCCTGCATCTGACCACCAACTCCCAGTAATAAACCAAGGTGCACACACAGTGTCCGAATGTAGGTGCCAGCCTCACAACTCACCCAAAAGATTCCTAAGATACAGACACACAAAAATACAGCAACTATTTTCTAGAGTAATAGAGAAAATACATGTTTTTTTTTTTCTCTCCAACTGAATCATCAAGATTACAGATAACAGATATGGGGAATGACAACAAAGGTACTGAACTAACTAAACTAACGCAGCTGAGTCCTTGGGAATGCATATCTACCCACTTGTGGGGGCGTCTAAAGCCAAGTGAGTCCCTCACAGAACAGGCTTAATGACCCACCTAATCGTCTTTCAGGATCATATTCAATCATTTTGCTTTCATAGATAGTCCTCACTCGAAGCTGCCTCTTTACTGCAGCAATAAGCGGGGGTCGCTGGAACAGGGCACCTGTCAGAGTTTCTAGGGCCTAAGAACAAGCACAAACAAAAACACTCATCACGTGGACTCATTTTTTAAAAGACGAAGGTACATATTTGGGGAGTTTAAAGACAATTCAAACACAAGTTTTCTTTCAATAATTTAAAAGCAAAAATGTACTTTGCTTCAGTTTCTTTCAATACTGAGGAAAGGAAGTGCTGATCAGAACCTTCTCAGAAGAGACGTGGCTAGAAGGCATCCCTGTCATCTACAGTTCTCCATGCAGGGGGCTAGGGCAGCCCACTGAAAGAGCACAGGACATGTTACCCAGGAATTAACAGACTTACCCTAGAAAGCTGAGTCCCCCCTTCAATAGCATTGTGCAGCCGGACAATTCCCACATACTCTTTGCCTGAAAAATGACAAGAGTAGTCAGGTGTGGCCACTGAGTTTTCTGTATGTTCATATTTTATATGCTCAATCTCTACCATTTTACAAAGCAGAAAAAGCAGGCAATCTGGTATCACGTTTCCATAAAATCTGTATTCAGAGAGATCTCATGGTGTGGGTGGGGAAAAGAAATGGTACTTTCTCTTGAGTTAGACATAGTGGCACATGCCTACAACCTCAAACACAGCAGTTGGGAGGCTGAGGTGGGAGGATTGACAGTTCCAAGGCAATATGGGCTATACAGCAGGAGCTTGTCTCAAAAAGCAAGAGAAAAGGACCAGGTATAGTGGTACACACCTTCAATCCCAACACTTGGGAGGCAAAGGAAGGCGGATCTCTGTGAGTTAGAGGCCAGCGGGGTCTACATAGCGGTTTCCAGGACAGCTGACGCTACCTAGTGAAATCCTGTCTTTAAAAAAAAAATCACAAAAATTCTGGGGCTGGAGAGATGGCTCAGCAGTTAAGAACACTTGACTGTTCTTGCAGAAGACTCGGGTTCAAATCCCAACACCCAAATGGCAGCTAACAACTGTCTGTAACTGCAGTTCCAGAGGACCCAGTGACCTCTTCTGTCCTCTGCAGGCATTGCACAACAGGGTGCACTTACATACATGCAGGCAATCCATGCATATACATCAAAAAAATAAATTAAAAAAAAATCACAAAAATTCAATTTGAGAGAATGGGGGGGTGGGTGTTCAATGTCCATTTGATAACAGGGACAACAGCTAGTGTAGAGCCTGACTGGAGAACACCTTGCACTTTAAGAGAGAACTTACTCTGATGAAAACGAGGGAAAGACACTGGAGACAGAAGCAGCAAGCATAGAACTAGGTAAGACTCAGTACTGGGACTAGACTAGTCGGTTCCATAGGTATAATCCTGGTATCTGGAACTCTTAAAAGGGCAGAACCACCAAATTTGGCAGAGGACAAAAGTTTATAGAAATCCAAAGACTATTCCTGTTTTATGACTTTATTTTCTATTGAAGAAATAGTGTAGGCAAAACAAGTGCCGAATGCCTTCCGATCTCTAGGCAGCCTTTTCCTCTCTTCCACATACCTGCACTCTGTTGGGATTTCACTAAGCGAGTGGCTCGTTCAATGCACACAATTAAACACCCAGTAACCTTGGGATCTAGTGTGCCACTGTGGCCTGTCTTCTCTACCCGAAGTATTCGTCGGATCCAAGCTACCACCTCATGGGAAGAGGGGTTAGAGGGTTTGTCAAGATTAATGAAACCTGTCCTAAAATAGAAAAAAGATTAATGTACCACCTGTTCTTATGTCCTTGCAAAACAATATGAAGGGTTAAAAAAATAAGCACAGATATTGGTTTATATATTCAGGGCAAAGACACTGAGATGCTACTACTTCTTCAATAACTAAAATGAAAACATCAAAATAATCTAAGTTTAAACAGAAACTGTTCCCCATGCTTACCTGATATAGTCCCCAATCTCCCTCTTCAGAGGATTTGAACCACAAGGAAGAGGTGTATAGTGTGTTGTCCTTACATTTAGCTTATCAAAATTCTAGAAAGCAATGATACAATATAAGCTTAATAACACACCACTGATACATATACGTAAAAGAGTCAGTAACATTCATTATCGACCATGATATGGCAACTCTTCAAAGCCTATTAATGTAGAGCTTTGCTCCTATTATCAATACCATTGTTCGTGTGACACACTATTAAGCCTTCTTATGTACTGGAGAAATTCCCAGTACTAATAAGAAAAGGATAAGTCTGAACACTTGTACATTTCAGTCTCTGCTTGTCTGTACAGCATTCTGAATAAAGCACAGACTAACTGACTTTTTCAGCTCACTTAGACTGACGATGGCTGGCAACATTTCTCAACACGGCCATCTTCTGCTCCAAATGCTTCTACCTCTGCTCTTTATGTCTGTTCCTTTTCCGTCTGTCTAAGGCTTGACCACCAGATGGAAAGACCTCACCAACTGAAGCTCATCTTTCATTCATTACCAGTTTATATATTCGTTATAATATATAAATAGCAATACCTGTTTAACTGTCTTCCATCTCTGGTTTTTATGATTTTTCACAGTAGCGGGGACCTTGCCCACTCTGTGCACTAGCTATTTTTCTAAAGCAGATGCTATCTAAATGACAGTGATACATAGTCAAGCAGAAACTCAACTTTGTTGAACTACACAAACAAACCTCATTCTTATACCAATACATATATATATAGTTTACCAAAACCAGTGAAATGATTTAGTGGGCTATGGTGCCTGCACCAAACCTGATGACATGAGTTCCATTCCAGAGACTCAACTACAAGTTGTGCAAGCCATGTGTGGCATGTGCAGTCACACAAAAACACCAAAAAAAAAACCAATGCAACAACAACAAAAAACTCTTTGAAAAGGGGTGCTTCAGTAACTCTTTCTCTAATCCTTATACCTGGTATCTACTTTGTGAAAATCATAAATTTTGGCTTATCCCATTATTCAACAATACCATTTAAATCCCCAAATAACAGCCAGTAATTTCTAAAATATGCAATCAGGAACTGTGTAACCACGCTTCATAGAATACCTCCTGTCACTCTTAGCACATTATTTTACAAGAAAATAATATTAACAACCAGTCTCAGTAGGGTTAAATACTGGCCCAAAGTCACACACAAATTCACAGGCTTCAAAAATTATGCTCTTAAGCACTAAGAACAGTCGTATTTCAAGTATAAACTGGTACAGGTCTACAAGAGCTGAATTTAGAAGTGCAATTGCAACTAACAACAATTAACATCCTGATGACACTATTCCACATCAATATTGGTGCCAGGTGTTCATCTGATACACACACATAGCACATACCTTTAGTAACAGGGGCCACTGGGAAGTGTCCAACTGAGCCACTTTGGATTCTGGCTTGATGAGAAATTCTTCAGCTTGTTGTATTTCCTTCAATAGGGCAGAAACATATTAAACTTCCCACCTGATTTTGAACAATTCCATTACCAAGACAGAACAAGGGGTTGGGAAATGACTCTGAAACTGGGCTTTACTGGGACCTTGGAAAGAGAATTGAAGCAGTTCATTGAAAACCAGTGAGTTGGGTCCAAATATTTTAAAACAAAAACAAAACAGTAGGTGGAGATTTCAAGGGATTTTGTACTCAATGACCACTTGAGGGTGTTTAAAAGAATGTTTTTTCTTTAAAATATTGTTTAAACGTCTCTCTCTCTCTCTCTCTCTCTCTCTCTCTCTCTCTCTCTCTCTCTCTGTCAAAGCAAAGTAAAACACATCCCTACTCACGGCTACATCTTCTTCTTGTAATGACTTCCGGTCTTTTTTCTTCTTATGCTTTTTGGGAAACATTACTAGAAGAAACAAACAATGATATTTGGTGATTTTTTTTAAAAAAAGAATTGAATCAAAAATTTAAAATTGTCTGAAATCCGGACAAAAAAAGTATTTTAAAGTCTAGCGTAAGTGGAGAAAACCTAAGTGTATGAGAACCAACATAGGGTGGCTTAGCTGGTAGATGACTGTAGGCTCTAGCACGTGCCGGCGGGTTCTCCACGTGGCTGTGTCAGGGTCAAACACTAGGAAAGCGCTTGCCCACAGGCTGGAAAGTTCCACTAGGGACCACTGCACTGTCCACGCAGGCTTGTGATCTCAAGATTTTTTTGTAACTCTGAGGCACTCTCAATCGGGGACCCTTAGCCCCTTTACTTGCCCACCCTTCCTCTGCACCTCAGCTACCCTCATTTCTGCAGCGTCCCACCTACTGGTGGCGGTACAGATGTCACCAGGTCTAGCCACCCCTGAGTCTCCTCCACGGCTAAAGCGTGGGAAGGGAACTCGGGCCCTGGGTGGACTTTCTTTTGCCAGAGGCCCAAACCTAATGGAGGCGAGTCACCGCGAGGGTTCTCGCTCTTCTGCACTCGCTGGCGGTGCAGCCTACCGCTGGCCGCGAAAGCGCGGAACCGCAGGTCGAGGCTATGCAGCATAGACCTCACGGCCCGGCTGCCCTTACCTTCCACGTCCGCCATCTTGCACTGCTCCGCGTGCGTTGTACTCAAGCAAGCAGCAGCAACAACCGCAGACTCCCGCCTCCTGAGAATCGTCAGGCCGCGCCTAGAAGACCCGCCTCCGCGCACAACTCCCAGAACTAGGAACGGGAAGGGGTGGGGCGAATGGCGGTGGTCTGGAGAACTGCGCGCGGGCCGAAGGCTTAATCCCATTCGCTGGTTCGGCCACGGCTGTCGGTTGCCTGCGCATGCTCTTTGAGGCTCACCCAGCCTTAGCTCTCAGTGCAGGAAAGGGGAACGCGCCGCAGCCCGGAGCGTGTGGGTGTGGCTTCGACCGTCTTCTTTTGCTAAATTTCTGTCTGACTTCGGCTCCAGTACCTGGACACCCTGTTTTAGCGCTCTATAAATAGTAGCTAGTGCTTTCTCACGCTGACCGTTTCAGTTTATTACCAGGTTAGTCCCGACTGAAAATGACTAAGGTACAGAGAGGGTGAAAGCCATTTACTTTGGAATTTCCATGCAGCACTGGCCAATAGGAATCAACTATGAGCCACGTGTAGACTTGAAAATTCTCTAGCAGCCACAACGAACTAAAAAAAAAGGAAAGAAAATCATATTAATAGTTAATTTTATTTGACCCTCAGTATCTGAAATGTTATTTCAGCATGTAAGCAATATGCAGCATTATATTTTACTTTTTTCTGGATGAAGTTTTTCCAGTGTGCGTTTTACACTTAGCTGCCCTTCTCCATTCGAAATCTCCACAGTGGAGATTTACATCTAGCGCAGTGGCCAAAGGTGCAGTGCACACCAAAGCCAGGAAGTAACAGCTCCTGGTTTGAGCCCTGATTTTTATCTTTGGAATATTCTTCTGGCTCTTAATCTGGGATTCCACTGCTACCTTTCACATGTTAATATTACCCTGGAATATCGTCCTCCACCCTATTCCCTAGGCTCCTTAGTTTCTAATACTTTATTGTAAAAGATAGTTTGCTAATCGTTTCCCCCGCTTAGTTGCTGCTGATTTTTAAAAACTGGCTATTGCTTTTCTTCTATTCTGCAGTGCAAAGATAAGAATTTTGTTTCTTTTATTTTACTATGGCTTAAATTGGGTTTTCCTCACCCAATTCCTATTCTATCTGGAATTTATTTGGGTAAAGGTAATAATGATTATGATCCGAATTCACTCTATAGATAATCCGAATTAGCAATTATTATTTTATAATGCTCCATTGGTACATATTTCACTGAGCGAATTTTATTTCCTTATTTATTTATATATTTATTTTGAGACAGGATTGCACTGTGTAGTCCTGGCTGGCCTGGAACTCAAAGATCTGCCTGCCCCTGCCTCCTCTGAGTGTTGGTTTTAAAAGTGTAAGCCACCACGCCCAGCTAGGCTGGTTCAATTTGAAGTATTTAATCTGTTCCAGTGGTGTCATCTTTGTTACACCTATCCTCAAATCTGTTAAGAAAGATGATAGGCTTTGCTTTCAAGAAAGATCCAGAATCTAGTGGTTTTTCTCCACACTTACCTCTATCACCAATCATTATAACTCTCCTAGATTTCTCTAGTGGCCACCTGCTGGTCGACTTTTCTCTACTTTTCCTGAGTACATTGTCTTCTCAACACAGCACCTTGAAAAGGCCAATAAACTTAGGTCTTGCCTGCTTAAATTCCTGTAAGAACAGGCTAGAGAGAAAGCTCAGCAGTGGAGTGCTTGCTCAGCATGCTTAAGACCTTATATTTGATCCTCAGTGTTGCTAAATAAATTAAGTAAATAAATAATCTTTTAAGGGTTCTCATCTGTAGTGGGTTGAAGCCTAGAACTTGTCAATGTGATCTTACTTGGCAAATGTAGTAAGAAGTTTGGTTTTTTGTTTGTTTTCTGCGGAGTTGAGATTGAGACAGGGTTTTACTGTGTAGTCTAGGCTGGCCTTGAACTCACAGCAATTATCCAGCCTTAATCTCCCTAGTACTGGGATTACATATGTGTACCACCACACACAGTGAATGTAAAGATCATCAGATTATGTCAGTCATCCTGTATTACATGGGTGGACCTGAAAACCAATAGCAAGTGTCCTTACAATAGAAAAGATAAACAGACAAGAGAAAAAAAACATTTGGAAATGAAGGCAAACTCAACCGTAGGGACACATACTTATCCCAACATAAGGGGTACTGGGCAGGAGGATGTGAGTCTAAGGCTAGACTAGGTTGCATAGTGTAGCCTTGTTTCACCCCTCCCCAACAAATTAAGGCAAAAATTAAGTCCTTTCAGATAGTCTGCAGTATTGTGGAATACTAAATTTCTGGGGTTTAAAGCCACTTGATCTAAGGATAATTTGTTATAAAAGTGCTAGGAAACTCCTAAATCATCTAAGAGTGAAAACCAGGGTCCTTGCAATGACCATGCAAATCTGAGCTCCTGTCCTTCCAGTTAGTCCCTAATTCACCGCCTCCTACCGTGATGCTGTACCCTGCCTGGCAAGGATTAAGATATTCTAAAGAGGCACCTGCGTACCTCAGTCTGACTACCAGACTATTTGAAACAATGAACTCCAAGAAACTGGAATTTTCCCAGGAATCTCATGCTGGGAGAAGAGAAAACCTAAAGCCTGGGCCAACCGGAGGAGAAACTTTTCTCAGGGAAAGAGATTTCATATAGTCCTGATAACTTGTCAAACTACCTTATAGCATGAAACTGAAGCCCAGACAGTGATGGGTCAGTGATGGGCAGGACCACACCTTGGCTGGGACTGCTCAGATGTGCATATTCCTGACTTTCTATTTAAACTTTAATCTCATTTTCCAACTCTAAAGGTAGACTGCAGTGGGTCACTGGATCTCCTTTCTCTTCCCAGTGTGGCCACAGTGAATAAATCTTTTTCTGCTTTTTACTATTTGACTGTTTATGGCTTCTTGAGGATGGATGGCAGAACCTGGCTTCTTGAGGTACAGACTGTGACCTCAAGTTCAGTAACGTGGAGGGCTCACTGGATCTCTTTTTCCTTCCCAATGTGGTCACATTGAGTACTTTTCTGCTGTATGCTGTTTGACTGTGTTAATTAGTTTATGGAGGATAGGTGACTAAACCTGACTTGGGGTATAAGCTGTTTCAGAGGCACTCTCTCATCTTAGGTCTTTTGCACCTGCTCCTTCCTCTGCCTTAAATGAATTTTGTCTATTGTCTGTCTCTGCTTTACGAAGACGGGAAATTTTTGTCTACTTTGTTTACTCCTGTATACCCAACTCCTAGAGGATTCTCAAGGCTACAAATTGGAGCCAAACTTTGTTTTCCCACAAAGGATGTTCATAGAAGTATTCACAATAGTCAAAATTTGGAAACAACCTCAATTTTCATCAGCAGATGAATAAACAAAATGAGGTTTAATCATACAATACAATATTATTCAGCCATGAAAAAGGAGTGAAGTACAGTATAAATACATGTTACAACATAGATGTACTTTGAAGCATTATGCTATATGAAAAGTCACAGAACCATATATATTGCATGAGTCCACTTACATGAACTAGACAACACAATTTTTTAAATGTTTTATTATTTTTTATTTTTTGTCTAAGAGTGTATGGCCTGCATGTGTGTAAGTGCACCTGTGTCATGCAATGCCCACGGACATCAGAAGAGGGTGTCAGGTCCCCTGGAATTGGAGTTACAAACAGTTGTTAGCCATCATATGGGTGCTGGGAGTCAAACCAGGGTCTTCTGCAAGAACAGCCAAAGCTCTTAACTGTTGAGCCTTCCCTCCAGCCCCCACAAACAATTTTTTTTTAATGTGTATGAGTGTATTGCCTTCATGTATGTGAGTGCACCCGTGTCATGCAACGCTGCGGAAGTCAGAAGAGGGCTTCGGATTCCCCTGAAACTAGAGTTAAGGATAGTTCGTAGCCGCCATGTGGCTGCTGGGAATCAAGCCCGGGTCCTCTGCAAGACCAGTCAGTGCTCTTAACCACTGAGCCATCTCTCCAGCCCAAACAAATCTTTTTTTGAGACAGTCTTCTTATGTTGTCTAGGCTGGTCTTGAAATCATGAGGACAACTGATCCTCCTGCCTCAGTGTACTAAGTAGCTGGTGTTATGGGCACACACCACCATACAAGGTTCTAGAGTAGCCAAACTTAGAAATATAGAAACAGATTACTGTTTACCTAGGGGTGGAAGGTTTAGGGAAACATTGGAAATATCTGCTTATGGGTATAGGTTTTTTTTCTTCATTTTCACTGGGGATTGAACCCAGGGCCTGGTACATGCTAGGCCAGCACTCTATCTCTGAGCTACATACCTAGCCATCTTTTTTCTTTTTATTATCTTTAAATATTGTCTTTATTCTTTATTTTTAATTTTATTATTTTTATTTTATATATATATGAGTGTATTGCCTGCATGTGTGTAAGTGTGCCCGTGTCATGCAGTGCCCATGGAGGCCAGAAAAGGGCATTGGATTCCCCTAGAACTGGCATTATAGATGGTTGTTAACCGCCATGTGGGTGCTGGCAATCGAACCTGGGTCCTCTGCTGAGCCATGTGTCCAGCCCCTTTTCTTTTTATTTTAAGACAGGTTCTTACTAAATTGCCCATGATAGCCTTTTCCTATCCTCCAGAGCGCCTGGGATTACAGGCCTGTGCCCCCAGGTCTAGCTAGGATTTCTTTTTAAAGTGACAGAAATATTCTAAAATTGCATTATGGTTATAGTTCCACAATTTTTCAAGAATTGTAGGATGACTAATCATCGATGTTTGGGGTAAAAGAAACAATCAAATGCCTTGAATTTTTGGTGTTTACTGTAGACAGAATTTCTGTACCATGGTCAAGGAATCACTTACTTCTTAGAGCACAGGAAAAAGATAACAGAACAGCAAACATTTATACTTTGATCTGTCACCATTCCAAATAATAAAACTCAGTGAATTCTGAGTGAAATTAAGGGCCCTTGGGAGGACTGGGAGTCAGAAAACTGCTTTTGAGCCTCCATTGTTTGAGTAAAGAATCTAGTGTTCTTTGTCTGGTTGATTGTAGTGTCTTTCTCTCCTGAGTGAAAGAGCAAGAGTAAAAGCTCATCTCCCTCAGGCTGGCTCTCTAATCCTAGGCTCTCCAGAACGCTAACTATGGTTAACCTCAGCATTGCCC